CATCTTCATCTTCATCTTCATCTTCATCTTCATCTTCATCTTCAATCTTTATCTTAACCCTAACTTCAACTTTAATCTTTATCTCAACTTTAACTTTATCTTATGGCGTTTTCGCTTCTAAAAAAAATGTTGCCTTTTCATTGCCCGGTGCTTAGTGTTTGTACTTAGAGGGCAATGAGGAGGTGACATTTCGGTAGAAACGAAAACTCCATTACATTTCAATGCATTTGCAGCTATCAATGATTACACACACTTGCATGCCATTCTAATTTGCCTTAATTTTTGTTTAACTAGTTTTCCTCATTCAGTCGTTAGCTATAACCGACCTATCCTACTACAAATTAAATCGTTATTTATTAATGACATTCATACATTTGTCACGGTTGTGTGTGCGCGCGAACAGTCATTGCACGATTACTTGGCAATTCATCATTTCGCTATGGCAGTCGACGTGTGCTGTGCTAATTTTAGTAGCCGGCTCATTTGTTTTTGTATTATTACTAATACATATTGATTGCACCGTAAATAAAACTAAATATACGAGTCAGTTGTTATTGATATATGTAATTAGTTTACACTTTTTTATCGTGCTCGTAAATATATATGTATGTTAATTTATATGAAAAATAATCACGAGACTGCATTTAAAAGCGAGCTGTAAAATTTGACTGAAATGGGAATTGGATCAGTTTAACAAGTACATGTGGCATATTGCCGCAATAAAAAGTGTTACGATTATTAACAAGCAAAATAGATTTTTTAAATTTTATTTTTAAAAAATTACTAGATACATTTTGCGAGCATCCGAGTAATTTGTGCACCAGAGAGGGTAGTATTTAGTACAAATTGTCCCAAACGAGTTAGGCAGCCACTGTACGTTGTTTACTGTTTACTGCCTTATTGATTTTGGCCATTTAGCTGTCCCAATTTTTGTATCGCGAAAATTCTTGTGTGCATTTTTTTTAGTACATTTGGTATATGTCTTTGCTAAACAGTCGCGATGCAAACTTCGGCCTCGTTGGCACTCAAACTGTTTTGTTGAAGTCTGTAGTGCTTTGCAAACTGTAGGATAAAACAATTGCGATACCATGTTTTAGAGCCAGCCAATTAAATAAATAATGGGCCGCATGAATAAAAACTAAGCAATTGCTTTTTCTTAAAATTTCATACCTTTTACTTCAATTTTGTTTGAATAAATTGAGTAAAAGATCTGAAATTTTAAGAAAAGGCAATTGCTTATTTTTATTCATACGGCCCAATACTTCATACATTCATAAATACATACATATGTATCTACAGTTTTACTAGAATAATAGGAGTGAGATATTTTGACAGGTTTTGATTATATTTTTGTTTTAGTTAGTGTTTATAAATGTTTCCAAAAAATACATATAAACATTCGACAAATTACCACCAAAATTTCAAATTAAATTTTAATAAGTGTTTGTAGTTTCTAAACAAAATAGTAGTTAGTTTTTAACTTGTTTTTGTTGACGATACCAGGCACTTTCTTCCATATAAAATTGTCGTACATACTTTTTGTAACTAAAAAAAATACAAAAAAATGACAAAAATCAAAGGTATTTTGTAGTCACTTGACACTTGCACTAAAATTGAAGGGCTATAAAATTGCAGAGCTAACATTTTTTTTTTTTAATTCTGATACCAAGTTTGAAGTTTTGGTGAAAATTTGTTGAATTTTTTTAAATGTATGCACAAAGTTTGAATCTGGTCTTTATGTACATATGTATAGCAGGGAGCAGAAATGAGTATACGGTGATTTTTGTTAAAAATTGGTAAGATTTTTAAACCTAAATTTTTTTTCCCATAAAAACATGGTTCATGGTTTTCATTCAAATTTCAAAATTTTAATCTATTTTTTTTTTGAGTATGCAGTTTGGTACCCATTAAATTGAGGTATATAAAGTGCAAAATTGCGTTGATTTTTTTGGTGACGTATTTTAACACTTTTTTTCGATAGAAGTATGAATTTCTTATCGAAGAAAATGCGCAAGACCGTTTGCAAAGAAAATTAAACAAGAAAACAAAGCCACTTTTTATAAATTGCACTTCTTATATAAAAAAAGAAACGCAAAAGCCGTCAGCACAAAAATATCTAACAAATCAATAAAATGTTGAAATTTTAATGAAAATTTGTTAAATTTTTTTAAGCTCTTTATAAACTTTTAAAGTTTAATTTTTATAATAAAAAAATTTAAACTTTAAAAACCTTGCAAATATTTCACAAAAATTACCGTGTATCATTTCTGCGCCCTACTTTATATAGTTTTAGTTAGAAATTAATTCACATTAAATAAACAAAAGAAAATTTAATCTAAATATCGCACTCCTATTATTTTGTGGACAACTGTACATAGCAGATTTTTTTTTTATGTAAAGTTTTTATACTAAATCATAAATTAAATGTATAATAAAAATACAATAATTTCATACTTTTTATTGCCTTTAAAATGTGCTTTAATTTTATTCTATTACGTATATTTTTTCTTTGTAGTCGCACACCTGGCTCCCGTCAGCCCTCACCAGCTGAAGAAACGCTGCCACGTCCACCCACACTACTCGATCCCAGCCAACATGGTGGCTTTCCAACGCATCCATTCAATCATATGCTCAATTCCATGGATCATCAAGGCGGTGGTCCTGGCACACAAATGAATTCGTATCCACCACATCAAATGCAAATGGGTCAACTGCAACCGCCCGTAATGAATGGTGTCGGTGGTATGCAAATGGCACAGGTAGGCATCATACACACATAAAATACAAAATAATTTGAATAATAAATTTCTTACACAAATTACATATAATTTTTGCTATCTTGCAGAGCCCCATGATGAATCATCAGACACAAGGACCAAATCAAATTGAATCTCCAGGAAATTTATTGCAGCAGCAACCGCCTAATTTTGATGTACAGGTGAGTGTGGATGCTTTGTTGTGTTGATTTTAGTGAATTGAACACGTTAGCATAGTTTACATATATAAACGGCCCTCAGTTCTTGAACGACTGGTCGTGAAATTAGGGCTGTCAAGCGTGTCTTGTGGGCATTCATTTTAATCGAGTTCTTTGGTATCGATACTTTTAAGGATTGGGTATTTTTACATACATACTTTAAATACTTTCTTTAAATACACATATTGTGGGTAACATTTCAATGCTTAGTGGAGACATCTCCTTATTCAAATTAATATATTAATCTCAAATTACGTGAAATGAATGGCTAACGGTACTGGGTACAAATATTAAACTTAAAAACTATTGAAACTTGAAATTGAGTACAATCATTTCTAAATACCAATAAATGTAAGTGGAACTCAGTACTTTAAAGTACGTTGAATAGATCCTGAGTACATGTATCAGAGTGATGATTTGAACAGAATGCTTTCGAGTACTGAGTACTTTCGAGTTCTTTCAAGTTCTAGGTAGTTTCGAGTCTTTTTGTGATTACTGAGTACTTTGGAGTACTATTGAGTACTTTGGAGTACTACTGGGTACTTTCAAAAAGCGGAAATCCTTTTGAAAATCGAGTTCTGAGTACTTTTGGTGTCGATACTGCCCAATACTAGTAAGAACAGAGTATTTTTGAGTACTTTTGAGTTCTTTTAAGTTCTGAGTACCGTCGAGCTCTAGCTCAAAACTAGCTCATCCGCTTGACATTGTATCTTCCGCAATGTTTTCAGCAGATGATTTTTGTATTCAGATTTCTTTTGTTTTTTTTTTCTTATTATCACACAAATTTCCGTTCCTTGCAGCGTCCCGATAATTTCAGGGTTAGATTGAATTTAATGCTTCTAAGGGCAAACTTTTTTCAGATCTGTATGTGCTATATTTAAGCTCAGCTAACATTCAGCCGAAAAAAAATTCCCATGGGGCTGCTTAATTGCTAACATTGCTCACCAAAAATAGTTTCCCTAATACCACGTCTAGTTAATCCTTAGCGATTTTAAGTGGCTATGCGCATTCCTGTCGCCACAATTCAGAAGTACACTTGTTTTTCCTCTTCTAACCACCAAATCCCTACTACAAATATACCCAAATAGCCTGCTTATAGGCGGAAATTTAAATTAAATTCCTTCTAGTGGAACATTTTGTACTCTAATCGTACAATCTTACGCATAGTTTTTGCAATTTACCTCAAAATTTATACCTACTAAACCGCTGTGTCAACCACTGGCTTGGGTCTCCCATCACTTTAGTGGCTTAGCGATGTACGCGTTTATGTAAATGGCTATGTTCGTATGTTTGCTTATCTGTGTATGTGCTAAACGCTGCCTTCGATGTCCTCCAAAATTTACAGTCTAAATGACACAACCTTAATGCAGCAACCAGTCAGCCAACCTTACTACTACCTTTCATACTTGTTTAAACTGGATAGCAACCAAAGCATTTGGCTTTTCGGCCTACCACTTGCCTAACTATTTACAATGTATTTAGCATAAATGGTGGCTTGTGTGTGTGTGTGTGCGTGTGTCTGCTATGAGCGCCCACTAGCTCTCTGTCCATTACTGCCCATTGACTATTTCTTCGAAAATGTACATTCGATTTCCGGTTTACAAATTTTGTAGCTCGCATTGCAATTGCACTTATTACTCCCTGTGCGCACGCCGGCAGGGAGGGCAGCTCATTTAGCGGTCAAGCTTTTATAACCTTGCAACTCCTAAATCCAGTGTACACTATGTCCAGCTGCATATTTTGTATCTACTTACATTTGAATCTCTATGTAGGTGTTCAAACGTTGCCTTCGATTTGCCGTCATTAGCAACTAAGCACACTAACACATACAGTTAGCCAGTTGTGTTGTGCTGCTGTTTGTTTGACATTGGACTGCTTGTATGCTTGTCGTCTATTCGTTTGCTTCATTGCTGCTGACATTCATTTTGTTTAGATATGTATATGTATGTATTCCCTTTATTGCATTAGCCCATCGGTTGCAGTTGGCTCCTGTCTATTCCGCTCTCGACTCCTAGTGAGTGCGCTGTGTGAATCCACTATATTTTCACCCTACTTCCCCTTGCTTGCTTAGCCCATTTGTATGTTGCTTGGCACAATTTATTGGCAAAGTAAATCGGATTTATTAGCCGCAAAATTGCTTTTCAATGCTTTTAAGCTTTCCTTTTTATTTAATACGGCTTCAAATGCTATGCACTCATCCATTTTCCTCATCACTTTCGCACTTCGCATGTCCTTAAACATTTGGTTGGCACTGTTTGTTAGTCGTCTTTTATTCCTTTCTCATTTGTCCTTTTTATTTGCTTCCTGACTATGCATTTTTGTGCATTTGCCAAATTTTGGCTATTTGTTATGTATGGATTTCTTTCTGTCGCCATTGCAGTGGTGCTTTTCCGCCTGTCTCCATTGCCTTTTCCGGTTTGTCCTGCCGCTTTGTCTCACCGAAATTGAAAATCAATATTTTGATTTCGATATGTAGCACTCTGCCCAGTAATTTTGCCCAATTGTCTGCTGAACCAAGTTGATTCCTTATTACGTACATACATATATGGCTGCGATGTGATCTTGGCACCGTAGCACCTTGCTGCCTGTCGGCTTGCAGTTTTTTGTTTACTGCCTTCTTTTACTTTTTTTTCAACTCTTGTTAGCTTTTGATTTTTACGGTCTATGTATTGTGGCGCAAATTTTGTATAGTTGGCAAACAAATTTCTCAATTTATGCCAATTTGCCAGTGCACTAAGCGTGAAAGTGTTTGGATCTGCCTGCTGGTGAAGCTCGCATGTGCCCTCCGCCTATTGGTATGCAACAGTTTGCTGCTTACGCTCAGACGTTCATAAATTTTTGTTTAACAAATGGCTTAGGGACAAATGCAATTTTTCTGATGTTGGCATAAAATGCAGAGTTATTTTTGTATTAAAATGTGTAGTATCGCTCTTTTGAATAATCAATGTGTAATGTCATTTAAAATAGTTTCTAATGGGGCTTTCATATTTTTTATTTATTAAATAACCAAAAAAGGGAGGTTTTTCTTTAGCTCAAATGAAGATAAGAAAAAGAGTTGTGTGTTGTGAGAATAGTAGGTAACGAGACTAACTGGGCAATTGTCTTTCAACTCACCACAATCTTTCGGGCGACAAAATTCTTTCGTAATAATTTTCTGGCCACAGTTCTGGCAACTATTTTGAGAGCTCGTTTATGTCTTTCGAAACACTACTTGAAAAATCTGCTCACAATAAAAACTACAAATTAGAAAAAAAATAAAAATTAAATAAATAAATAAAAAATAAAATTAAAAAAAGAAAAAATAGATTAATTAATTAATTAAAA